CGTTTTTTACCTACAGCTGCCTTTGTAAACTGCTGAACTTGATAATGCAGTAAACAGATGAGTGAGACGGATAGTATCTGAAGACCAGAGCCCTATTCAAGTGTTCTTCCTCTAGGGATGGCCAGTTTCTCTCAGTTTCCCATTTTTCTAAAATTTGAGGGAGGTTTTAAGTCATTATGAAAATTCAGCAACATTTTAGTGCAATTTTCATTTTTGTACGCAATTTCATCCATATCTCTGCAAAACAATTTCCCATAATATAAAGCATGTTCATATCTTATTTCCCCTGGTATATGTATTTCTAGGCATGCATTAACCCAAGTAAGTGCATCTTTGTACACACTGCTTGGCTTAATTTTGCACTGTATTGCAAAATCTGGAGAAGTGGAAATTTCAGTTTGCCTGCATCAGAATAAAATAGGTAGGTCTGTCTTTAGGTTCAAACTGAATTGAATTTACCCCCTTCCCTATAGTTTCATCCACACAATTATCATCCCGTGAGGAAAAACACCCCTTCATCACATCAGTGTCACCACTCCAGAGCCCTCCACACATTGAGGGCTGAATTTCTGAAGTGGAGAACCTCTTCTACTCTTGTAGGCTCCCCATTCATTTTAGGATCCTGGAAGATCAGACTTCTAAACCTTATGGAGAGCCTACCTTTATAGAAAAGGCTACCTGCTGTTGAAGTTTAGACCTCGAAACATAAATGGCTGCAGGATTGGTAACAATGACTTGGTTAGCATGACACAGTAAGCCAAACCATGGGCTCCCCAAGACTGCAGAAATGTCTGGGATCCCAGAGTCTGCAGTCACTTTGCTCCATCGTGGCCCTTTTTAGTACCGTCCTGAGCTAAGCCATATTTGGCTTAATGTATCGTCTGAATCTAGGTTTGTGGTTAAGCTAGTCAGCTAGTACCTTGGTTTAGCTCAGCATGTGCAAAATCAAAAAGGATCAGGAGCAAAGTGACTGCAAGCTTTATCCCCAGAGTCTGTACATTCATGTGGGCCTGGCTAAGACATAGTTTGGTTTACCATGTTATGCGAACCAGACCAGTGACTTGTTGGAGAGTGTGTAGCCCATGCCTCCCACTCTCCCCCTTGAGTATTATGGGGGAATCCTGAAGAGGACTCAGGAGGACACTGAACAAACTAGATGGGCTAACACCACTGCCATGTTTTCATGATCTGGAAAAGCCCATAATAGAATAGGTCAGTAGCTGCTTAGTGACCACCATGTGGTTCATTTCTCCCCATTGGAACCAGACTGGAGTATATAATGACATGGCGTCTCAGTGCTAAGCTATCAATGACAAGTGTATACCCATCTCATTTCCAGCAGAAGACAGCTTTCTTGAAAGCAGGACTGTCCTTTTCCTTATAGGATGGCAACAACTTCCCATCAGCCATTTCTTCAAAGTCTCTCTTCAAGCAGCTGAACTTTGTGTCAGATTTTTTGCTGTTTCCAAAGCAGTAGATCAAGAACCCCCTCCCATCAAACAATACAAGGAAACCTACCATTGCCCCTTTCATTATGGAATGGATTTCCTCTCCCAAGAGAAAATAAGTAGAGGTATTCCACTACAATGGTCCCCCATTTGAGAAGAGTCTTCTTCCCAATTCCATTAATGGAAGCAACTTTTTAAAGGAGATGGTTCGGCACTCAAATTGGTACCCATCTCTTTGGGGGCAGCAAAAGAAATACCCACCCGACGTATGGCATAACATGCCATTTCAGATCGCAGTACACACTGAATGTTTGGCACATGTTGTGAGAAACGTCTTCTTCTCTTTTAAAAGATTAACAAATCCCCTTTCCTCTCTTTTTTTCCCGCCTTTCTTTTAAAGTACAGTGTGAATTGGTTAGGCCCATCACATTTCTATTTATAAGTGACTGGCAGCTCTAGAATAAAATCTGAGCACTCGAGCCAGGAATGCTTCTCTTTACAGCTTTCACCTACCTTTCAAAGGCTGAACGCTCAACAGGAAGGAAGGGAACAGCCTTCCTTTCGTTCCTACTAAATTACCATGGAATACACTTCAACGGCATATATTCACCAGGCTCTTCAGATGGCATTTATAGAGGAGATAAGGAAATGGGCCGATCCAAGGACAAATGTGTAACACACAGTCTTCAGTGGCGTTTGCAAGGGCCGGGAACAATATGCACCACTCACACACATAATTAACAAAACTCTCTTCACCGACAGTAGACCACATGAAGACCCTCACACCAGTAAATACCACAGAGCAGGGCATCTTGTCGCTTGGCGGACATAGATCTGGGTTTTATGAAATCTGAGAGTAGGTCTAGTTTTGGAACACAAAAATAGTTGCAGAATGTTATAGACACTGTGTGCGCCTAAATGTACACACAGGTGGCTGGTTAGTACCTGGACCTGTATTAACATTTTCAAAGCTGGTTTGTGGTATAGACATTAGCCATATACATACATTCCCTCCATGCGTAAGGATAACGCACAGAGGGTGGAGGAGTGGTTTGTCCAGACCCTGCAAAATGTCCCCAGGGTATCAGCGGTTGTTTGAATGCTGGCACTGCAAGCAGGGCTCCTGATCACATGGAGTGCCTACAATGAAGTATACTTCCTGATATTTAGGAGCCCCCTTTGCAGACTTTCCATGGACAATATAGTGGCACATGATATTGAGGGTGGTGCCAGGAGACACAGCTCCATGCCATACGCCCCACATTATTATCATCATTTAAATTTATTAGTTGCTTTTTTGCCACCGCAACTCAAAGCAGCTTACAATACTTTAAGCAAACACGTACATACATTAAAACTAGCAATACCTCAAGGACCGCCTCTTCCCATATGAACCTACCCGGACCCTGAGATCATCTTCTGAGGCCCTCCTTTGTGTGCCTCCTCCTCAAGAGGTCCGGAGGGTGGCAACATGAGAACGGGTCTTCTCTGCAATGGCTCCCCATCTGTGAAATGTTCTCCCCAGGGAAGTTCGCCTGGCGCCTTCATTATACTAGGCGCCAGGTAAAAACGTTCCTTTTTAACCAGGCCTTTGGTTGATTAGATTGACATCCTATGCCCTTTTAAAAAGTGGGTGTTTCGGGGGGGGCTATTGGGTTGTTGTTTTTATTTTGATTATTTTGTGGTTTTATATCTTGATTTTATTCTGTGAACTGCCCTGAGACCCCCAGGTATAGGGCAGTATATAAATTCAATCAATTTGTTGGGTCTCTGGACTGTAATAAAGATTGTTGATGTAAATTCAATCAATCAATCATCAATCAATCAATCAAAACAGAAGCATTCCAACAACACAAAAAAGCCATAGACTAAGGTGAAAATGTTGCTCTGCAGTGCTGGCAGATGACGAAACAACCAGCACATCATCGTAAAGTGCATGGTGCACTGTGTCTCTATGAGCTGCTCCATTCTGTCCTGTCTCTGCGCAATTGGGTCCGCTAAATGCCCAGAACATTGTGAAGCTTGCTTTCGAAACTGGCATGACTTTAAATGCCATCTCCAATACAGTATCTTATATTAATTGCAACGATGTTCATAGCAATTCGTGAGAGGGGAGTTGGGACTGCCACAAATGAAGTCCGAAGTGCAAAATAGTTCCTTAGCAGTGATCGGTCCAGTATGTATGCAGCCCTCCTTGCAAGAGTCTCCTGAGCTGTGGGGGAGGCACATCTGATTCTATTCCATAGTCAGTCCTCTCTGCTCCTCTGTCCGAATTTCACAAGCTCCTTTTGGCAGGGTTTGCCAACCAAGCCTTACCCCCCTTTGTTCTTTAGGAAGAGTTTCTAAGCTGAAGAGAAACGTCTCGTATTTATTTTGATCTGCACAGTAAGAAGGAATATTGATGGCTACCTGTTTTCACAGTAGTAAGTTGCTTGCTTGTCGCGGCCATTTCTCTTTGTGCAAATCTTGTTAGCGGAACCTGGAAATGCAATGCTGAGCCTCAAATATCAAGGTGACCTTTGAGACTTCCTTGGACTTTTAAGTACATCTAGTGTAAAATGTGCCTAGCAAAGTCTTTTGCCGTGCTGTTGTCTTGTGCAGCCTTTTCCAGTTAAACCAAGATAAGGCGCTGTTAATATTTAGTCTGGTCCTTTCCCAGCAAAGATGTACTCAGCTTTGAAGATTGTGGTAATCACTGACGAGAAACTACAAATAGCATTAACTAGGGTGCAATTAGAAACCTGAGCCTGGGAGATCAGAACTGCAGGATCTCTGTGCATGTGCGGGCAGCCGGGAGAGGGGAAAGGAAATTGTGCTATCAGTTTTATTGTTTATGAATTTTAATAATTTGCATGCAATTGATGGCATGAATTTTATAATTTGATCAGCTGGTTTCTTGAGCACATTTCATATGTTTTTGTGAATCAGCTTGGGAAAGTGGAGATGGTGGGCTTGGGGTTGAAAGCCAGCCTATAAATTTCAATAATAACATAATAAATAAAATGGTTAACTTAAAGGTATACACAGGGTTCTGTTCCATTCTTTTTGATGCTCGGCGACAATAGGTTCAACATTTTTTGAATGTTTGAAACTATTACTTAAGTAGAGAAACACAGCTTATTTTGGCCTTACAACATTTTTCCATGTTTGAGGCAAATGTTAAATCAGTTGCTGAATATCAGGTTTGTTAGGCATTTATTACTTCTGGTATGTTCTTAAAAAGCATCTGAGCTTACTGAGTGTTAAAACATTTGATTATAATTTGTCAAGGAAATCAAGATATATAATCAGTGTGTTGTAAGAAGGGAAACTTGAGTTCCTATCAGCAGAGATAGCCTATAACACAGATAGTTATACACCTTTGTAACAAGATGGCATTCTATTGCTCATTCCACCATCCTGAATTTTGTCAGTGGAAAGGATAATTTTCTCAGATAGATTTATGCAAGAGAGGAAGCCAGAGAACAAATATCACCTTTGTGCAACAATGAATTACGGTTCTCAGTTGTATTCTTCAATAATTTTTTTGAAAGGGAAGTGTCAATTACTTACAGTGCTTTGCAAGAGAAGCGGTGTTTCAGAGCAACCTATCCCTTCATCCTTAAAACTAGATTCCATGTTGATTATGTCATCGATAACGTCCTCCATCTAGTAAAAGAAGTTGTCAATGAATGCAAGAGGATGGTGAACGGAGGAACTTATTCTACAAATATTCACTTTTTTTAAAAAAAAGAACAAACACTAATCCTTTGATAAAATAATTCTCTTTGTGATCAGAATCGCTTTCAGAAGAGGCATACAAATGAAATGATGATGATAGCCAATACCGTTTGGCTGAATAGCATCATAACAGCATCTCATTTATAAACTGACCTATGATTAAGCTAGGATCACCCGTTTGTGACTAATTCAGTGGGGGAACGACAGCAAATAAGGAACAAAATAGTGCAGAAGATGAGCATGCCGGGGAAAGGATAACTGTGAATAAAAGTATCCTCACATTCAAAGCATTTTGGAAATATTTATGTCCTTCCAAAATTAATACTTTGGGACCAATCCCCCCCCCCAAAATGAGAGCCCTACAACTGAAGCAAACTCATACTGGGGGAAGGTAAATTTTCAATGGCAATGCAAGTCTCATAAATGAGGAAGGCAACATATACATAGGACTTTAAATTCACAGTCTGAAAAGATTCCAAGATTGAGAAAGGGGTGGTTTCTAGTAGCAGCCCAGAATGTAGCTATGCATGCAGAATATGAGCTCTATTTGCTATTTATATGCATATATCATGTAAAAACTCTGCAGTCCTTATTTACTGGAACAAGGGGCTGCTATAAAATCCTATAGTTTGTAATTAACAATGGTAGGTTTGAATCCAAACTTAGGTCTTAGTTTGTCATAAAACTGGGTTTGCAGCCTTACTGGAGGCTATTCAAACTGCCTGCACAGTCAGTTTTGGGTTTGGGAAACCCATTCCTTCAGGTCTGCTCTAAGCATGACTAAATCTGGCTCCAACCTGTGCAAATTTGGGAGGTTTTCTTTAGTCCCGAAACTTGATGTTGAATTAATCACCCCTTAACACATCAGAGAGCAAACATCTCTTTAAGCAATGCTTACGTGATTATAAAAGGACCGTTGACAATGGTGCAAATCCACAGTGATGACATGGAATTTCATGCATAAGCCTCCAGATCTCAAATGTAGTTTAACTCAGGCATATTTAGGTGTAGCAATGCTGAACAAATGGGAGACCTAACTTGTAAACTCCATCTAATTTGGCAAACCAACATTCAAGAGGCCTTAGACTATTTTACAGCTCTATGACATACCGCATTTTCTTGTTCTCCTCCAAGACTTAATAACTTGGTCACTGGACTCCCAGGAGTGCTGATGTTGGTCGGAGGCATATGCCCACTCCTTAATATGGGCATAGCTGCTGAAGAATGGATTGAATGGGAATGAGATGACAGGCTTTGGCTAGACAGCTTCGCATCCAGCGTTAGGTACTGCTTCACTTGATGCCTCTGAGTTTGCTGAACGTGATACCTAGATGGATTGTCCAAGTGGGTCTGGACCTATGGAAGAAAAGAAAACGATGAAGTACAATTTCTTTTAGATTAGGCTCGAGGACCTTTAATAATACAGTTGTGAGCAACTAAATTGCAGGTCATGGAAACTGGCTGACACTGTGACCTACAAGCTATACAAGATCTATGTCCGCTAAGTTATACAGAAGCATGGTAGTTTATCTGGACAATGCTACTTCCATAAACAAACAGAGAACCCCAGCCTTCAAGAAATCCATTCAATCTTCTCTGCCCCCAAATTAATTATACAGTTAATTCTCCAGCCACAGAAACAATCATCTCAGGAAAGAATGCAATTTCAAGAACGCAGAGTAACCTCAGCATACCTTTGAACATTGTTTTTACACCAAGTTTGAGTTGAAACCCATGCCTAATGTGTACAAAGATCACTGCATAATCTGCCAATAGAGACTTCCATTAGATACAAACTACATCATTGCTCTTCATTAGTAAAATGAGAAACAGCACCCAAACTAGCACTTATTTTCATTAGCTCACCTGATAGTAAGAGCAATCTGTCAGATGAGGCATTTTTAAGTTCGGCACTATCAAATAATCCAAAAACAGTGCAGTAGATTATCCCTGACCAACCTCAAGCAATGTGGTATTCTCGATGCTCCTGTTAAGGACTGATAAAGCTTTCAAGCAGCCAGAGAGACCTTATAAATTAAGTGGTCATGCCCAAATCAGCTAATTGTGTCAGAGCAGGCCATCCTTTGATTGTGCTGATTGACAGCCACTACTTCAAACAACTCCCATCTCAGATCCTTGCCACATTCCTACAATTTACCCACTACAGGGATACTGAGTACACAAATATGTACTGTCACATTCACCCTCTGGCTTTCTTGCAATATTATAGTATGACTAATGACAAATTTCATCTAATAGGTTTTCTTCAAATGACCCTTAAGACTTAAAAAACAGTGTTACAGCTCTCGTTTGTTTTCTTTCCACTTAAACTATCACAGTTCAAAACATGTGTGCTTATATTCCACAAATTTTGTAAAAGGCAAAAGATTTATACGATCTTAAAAGAATTGCATAAGAGTATACATTTTTATACACATCATAATGTTTTGGAATTAATTGTAGCATACAATTCTACTTCCATTCTAAATTAGCCAAAAGTTATTTCAACCAAATTAATTTTCAAGGAAATTTGATTCAACGGATCAGTCTCAGGCACCCATTGCTGTCACCACAGGACATTATTTATGTACCTTGTCCATCTTGCTATTCTTACTTTCAGTCATTACCAAACATTATAATTTATAAACAAGGTTAACCTAATCTTGTCTGAAATGCCTTTAGTGAGTCTTCCCAAGTCCATTATCCCCTAATCTTTATTCCATGAATCCTCCACAGCAAAAATAAAAGTATGTCCACTTATGGCATAGAAAACAAGTTTGCAAGCCTTATCTCAGATTACACTAAAATTCCTTCCAGTAGCACCTTAAAGACCAACTAAGTTAGTTCTTGGTATGAGCTTTCGTGTGCATGCACACTTCTTCAGACACCTGAAGAAGGTATCTGAAGTGTGCATGCACACGAAAGCTCATACCAAGAACTAACTTAGTTGGTCTTTAAGGTGCTACTGGAAGGAATTTTTTTGTTTTGACTATGGCAGACCAACACGGCTACCTATCTGTAACTAAGATTACACTGTTTCTCAATCAAACCAAAATTGACACTGGTCTCAACCCAACCAGTCCTATACATGTATACCCATAAGTAAGCCCCACTGAATTCAGAGGGATTTACTTCCAGGAAAGTGTATATAGGACTGCAGCCTTGACTTCCCTTTTCTTTTAGTAGGACAGCTAAGTTGGCATTTGAACTCAATTAAGTACTTAACTTTGCATGGTCATGTCATTACTGAAACTGGGCCATAATTTGAATCCAAGCCTTTAGCTCTCAAGCACAACAGTTTATCTATCCATCTGAACTACCTCAGATCAATGAAACCAAAACTATATGCATTTATCAAAACTGAAGAAAACACTCACATGTGATGGGGTGTGTGGGTGTGGGTGTGTGTAACATTCTACAGTGAAACTCAGATCCAGACCATTATGATCTCTTTATTTTTCAGAGCCACCACATGCGGTTCAGAGATCACAGCTAAATGTCAGAAACATGTGCAACCAATCCTCTGCATGTTTGCACATTCACTGTCTCAAATGGATGCTCCCTCCCTAGTCAGTGCGCAGCTTTAATCTTTGCCTTTTGGGTACTATATTTGACTTGACGTAAGAGACAAATTACTGTAAAACTTTTGCAACATCTCCTGCCTGCATGTTTTCAGTTTCAAATTTTCTGTAGGTCTCTCACACTGTTAGGACTTTTCCTCCTTTACATAAACAAAAAGAACTACAAATGTGTTAATATACATAAGAATAGGAATCTTTGCTAAAAAGCTGGCATTTTGTACAATGAAGACATCACATTTCAAACTAAGGGAAAGCAGCACACATCTGACAAGCAGCTAACCTCTTCAAAACATTTGGTTGATCTGTTAAGTTCCTGCTTGTTACAAGCAGCACAGCAACTAAATATAAAATATGGGAAGTTTTCAACGTCATCTGGATCACCAGAACTAGAGCTATGTATGCTTTGCAACAAGGATAAGAAATTTGTGTGCCACCCATCATCCTTGGCCATTGTTCGTACTGGCTGGGGCTAATGGAAGAGTCCAACAAAATCTGGAAAGCCACATGTTGCCCATCTGTGTGGTACAATGAAAAACTACAATGGTACCTCGGGTTACAGACGCTTCAGCTTACAGACTCTGCTAACCCAGAAATAGTACCTCAGGTTAAGAACTTTGCTTCAGGATGAGAACAGAAATCGCGTGGCAGCAGTGGGAGGCCCCATTAGCTAAAGTGGTACCTCAGGTTAAGAATAGTTTCAGGTTAAGAACAGACCTCCAGAACGAATTAAGTTCTTAACCCGAGGTACCACTGTAATTCCATTCAACAGCAACATTTGATTTCCCACAATATGTGACTTTGAGGCTTGTGCAGGACCAGGCCGGAGCTGGACTTTTTCATTCCAAGTAGGCATGCAAGGAACTGTGAGAAGTGCATGTACAGACTTTGCCGCTTGTGGGAAGCACAAATTCTGAATGTGGACCTTAAGGATCTTCCAGGCACTCACATAAGGAAACTCATGCAGGAACAGGCTAAAGGACCACCCAGTCTATCATCCTGGCCAACCAGATGCCTCTGGGGAGCCTGTGAGAGATACAAATACACAACAACACTTTCCTCCCTTGAGATTCCCAGCAGCTGGTATTCAGAGGCCTACTGCCTGAAGCTGCAATATCCTCCAATATTTTGCCTCATCCTCTTTTAATGCCATCCAAATTCATGGTCATCACTATGTTGTTGTTGTTGTTTAGTCGTTTAGTCGTGTCCGACTCTTCGTGACCCCATGGACCAGAGCACGCCAGGCACCTCTGTCCTCCACTACTTCCCGCAGTTTGGTCAAACTCATGCTGGTAACCTCGAAAACACTATCCAACCATCTCGTCCTCTCTCGCCCCCTTCTCCTTGTGCCCTCCATCTTTCCCAGCATCAGTGTCTTCTCCAGGGAGTCTTCTCTTCTCATGAGGTGGCCAAAGTACTGGAGCCTCAGCTTCACGATCTGTCCTTCCAGTGAGCACTCAGGGCTGATTTCCTTAAGAATGGATGCGTTTGATCTTCTTGCAGTCCATGGGACTCTCAAGAGTCTTCTCCAGCACCATAATTCAAAGGCATCAATTCTTCGGCGATCAGCCTTCTTTATGGTCCAGCTCTCACTTCCATACATCACTACTGGGAAAACCATGGCTTTAACTATACGGACCTTTGTTGGCAAGGTGACGTCTCTACTTCTCAAGATGCTGTCTAGGCCTGTCATTGCCCTTCTCCCAAGAAGCAGGCGTCTTTTAATTTCGTGGCTGCTGTCACCATCTGCAGTGATCATGGAGCCCAAGAAAGTAAAATCTCTCACTGCCTCCATTTCTTCCCCTTCTATTTGCCAGGAGGTGATGGGACCAGTGGCCATGATCTTCGTTTTTTTGATGTTGAGCTTCAGACCATATTTTGCGCTCTCCTCTTTCACCCTCATTAAAAGGTTCTTTAATTCCTCCTCACTTTCTGCCATCAAGGTTGTGTCATCTGCATATCTGAGGTTGTTGATATGTCTTCCGGCAATCTTAATTCCAGCTTGGGATTCATCCAGCCCAGCCTTTCGCATGATGTATTCTGCATATAAATTAAATAAGCAGGGAGACAAAATACAGCCTTGTCGTACTGGCCATCACTATATGGCTTAGCTAATTTATGACTAAGTAGCCATTCTTGCATAATGCTGGTGATGTGGGAATTGCTAGGGTGACCAATTCAGAACCAAATTCACTCTGAATGGAGGCAGGCACTGACACTGCTGGGCCTTTTCTGACTTTTAGTATCTATTGGTTTAAATTACAACAATGGTACCTCAGTTTTTGAGCGTAATCTGTTTGGGAAGTCCGTATGCGTTCCAAAATGTTCAAAGACTGAAAACTGAAAGTGGAAGCCTCAAAATGGAAGCCTCAATACAGAAAACTCAAAACGGAAGCTGCTTTTCCTGTTTGACTTCTGAGGTGCATTCGAAAACCAAGGCATTTACTTCCGCCGTTTTGGCATTCAAGTTCTGAAACGTTCGACTACAGAGGCATTCGAAAACCCAGGTATTCTGTTTATGTGTATGTGGTTTTATTGTTGTGTTTTTAATGCCAACTCCGTAGAATCATAGAATCACAGAATTGTAGAGTTGGAAGGGACCCTGAGGGTCATCTAGCGCAATGCAGGAATTTGCATTGTACACCTTTCATTGTATGAAAATATTTTAAATAAGTAAAACCTAAAGGAGGTGGTAATGAAACCTTTTCAACCTGAAGAGACTAGATAGTACTCTCTTGCATACCCTCCAATATTTCTCCGATGAAAACAGGGACGTCC